GAGGAGGAGGAGGAGGAGGAGGAGTCATCCGTGGTACTCACCCTTGGCTGTTTTCTTGCAGATGTTTCGTGACCCAACTTGGGAACATCCTCAGTGCTGGAAACGCATCTCCCTTTCTTTTCAGCACTGATGACGTTCCCTAGTTGGGTCACGAAACGTCTGCAAGGAAGCCACCCAGCTCAGCTATCCCTGAGGACCCCCCACCCCAACCCCATCACAACGTTGTTCAAGTGATGCCAAGAGTGGAATTGGCCGCAGCGAGTGACCCAAATCCTGTAAACTGTCATTTGCCTGTGAGCTCCTGACTTTGCCGTGTCCGCCGATGCTGCCGGCAAACACAACAGGGGCGTTTTCTTCCTTTTGGCTTCCACGATCTTTTGCGCGAACCGTCTCCGGTTGCGCCTGCAAGGCGTCAAAACCCGCTCCTCAGCTGGCTGGGTTCGCCCGGTTGCCCTTCCTGGCTGCAGTTCAGGAGGATGTTTGGAACGTGCTTATTAAATTTTGTCTACTATTATTTTTGTCGTTATTGCTGCTTCTCGCCCAGCCAGCCAGATGTTCAGACTGGCCTTTTCATCCACCTTTCCAGTCCTTCCCAAACATCTAAGATAGGCAGATGTGGCTGTTTTGTTGGAGAAAAAGGTATCATTGTAGAAAAGGAAGCTCTATTATTATTACAAAATAGTTGTTGAGGTTGGATTTGGCCTCTTTATCCACCTCTCCGGTCCTTCCCAAGGATCTGGGATAGACAGATGTGGCTGTTTGATGACACAAAGGAGGGAAGATATATTATTATGGCTGTTTGCAAAGTCAGCCAGATGTTGAGGCTGGATTTGGCCTCTTTATCCAGCTCTCCGGTCCTTCCCAAGGATCTGGGATAGACAGATGTGGCTTTGATGGCGTAAAGGAGGGAAGCTACATTATTACAGTTGGTTGCAAAGTCAGCCAGATGTTGAGGCTGGATTTGGCCTCTTTATCCACCTCTAAGATCCTTCCCAAGGATCTGGGATAGACAGATGTGGCGTTAAAGAGGGAAGCTACATTGTTACGGTTGGTTGCAAAGTCAGCCAGATGTTGAAGCTGGATTTGGCCCGTTTATCCACCTCCTGAGGATCTGGGCTGGGACAGATGTTATTTGATGGGGTTGAAGGCCTCCCTGGAGGATGTCAGCTCTTCCGAGCAAAGCTGCCTTTTGCAATTGACCGATGGGGATTTTGTCAGTGCCGATGGTGTTCAAGGGGTGCTCCAGATGTTTTGGGATTGCATCCGAGGTGCCAATCATGACTATGATTCTTTTCACATTGAGCCAGATGTTTAGGTTGGATTTGGCATTTTTTGTCTGCCTCTCGAGTCCTTCTCAAGGACCTGAAGTAGGCAGATGTGGTTGTTTGATGGGGGTTAAAGGTTAAAGGATGTCAGCTGTTCCAAGTCAAACTGCCATCTATTCATTTATCCATCTATCTATCTGTTTATCATCTCTCTCTCTTATCTGTATCTATCTATCTATCTATCTATCTATCTATCTATCTATCTATCTATCTATCTATCTATCATGTATCTATCTATCTATCTATCTATCATCTATCTATCTATCTATCTATCTATCATGTATCTATCTATCTATCTATCTATCTATCTATCTATCTATCTATCTATCTATCATGTATCTATCTATCTATCATCTATCTATCTATCTATCTATCTATCTATCTATCTATCTATCATTATCTATCTATCTATCTATCTATCTATCTATCTATCTATCATGTATTTATCTATATATATATCATCTATCTATCTATCTATCTATCTATCTATCTATCTATCTAGTATTTATCATCTATCTTTCTATCTTTCTATCTTTCTATCTATCTATCTGTCTATCTATCTATCTATCTATCTATCTATCTATCTATCTATCTATCTATCTATCTATCTATCTATCTATCTACCTACCTATTATTTATTTATTTGTAAAATGTATTGCCCCCCTCCCCCCATCTGACCACAAGGTAACTCTGGGTGGTTTACAATCCTTTCGCAATTGACCGCTGGGGATTTTGCCAATGCCGTCGATATTCAACCGGTGCTCCAGATGTTTTGGGATTGCACCCAAGGTACCTGTCGCTGCTATTATGGGTCTTGGCAGAGTCATCCAGATGTTTGGGTTTGGCACCTCTCTCCATCTTACGGACTGGGGGAGGGTGGAGGCCGTGGGAACCCCAAGTTAAATCTGAATTTAAATCTGGACTTCACTCTGGTTTAGGGCTTCGTGCCACCACGACGGGCACCGGTGCCACCGTGAGTTCCTTTCTCTTTTTTGCCCCACCAGATGTTCACAGGGGGACGAATCCCAGAAAACGAAGAGACCCCCAGCCCACAGCCCCCGGCTCCTCCACGCCTGGACACTGACGCCTCCCTCAAGTGCCTGATTGGCGAGTGGGACCTCCACATCTGCGAGCGGCTGGGCGATGGGTGCTTCGGCGTGGTGCACCGCGCCGAGTGGCACGCGCCAGGGGGCGCCTTGGTAAGCGCCTGGCCTGCGGGCCTGCCCGCTGCTCAGCAAGATCGACCCTGGCTTTGTCTGCGCCGGACCAAACTAGGCGCCCGTGTCTTTAGAACACAACTTGACAACAATTGACAACTTGGCAAAAGAGACGGTCTGTTTTGTGACTGTTCCAAAAAAAATTGGCTTATGACTGTTCCTCACTCTTACGACGCTCGCAGCCTCCCCACAGTTAGGGGATCAAAAGTCAGGCACTCGCCGAGCTGCGTGTTTGTACGACGGTCGTAGCATCCTGTGACCCCTTTTTTGTGACCTTCCTGGCCAGATTCCCACAAGCAAAGTCAATGAGGGAAGCTGGGTTCGCTTAACGACTGCATGACTCGCTTAACGGCTGCAGTGATGTGCTTGATAACTAGATCAAAAAATGTTGCAAAATTGAGCATGAGTCCTTAATCCAGGGGTCTTCAAAGTTGGCCCTTTGATGATTTGTGGACTTCAACTCCCAGAATTCCTCAGCCAGGCACACTGGCTGAGGAATTCTGGGAATTGAAGTCCACAAGTCATAAAAGAGTCCTAGTTCCCTCACGCTGGCTGAGGAATTCTGGGAGTTGAAGTCCATAAGTCATAAAAGGGTCCTAGTTCCCTCATGCTGGCTGAGGAATTCTGGGAGTTGAAGTCCACCAGTCATCAAAGGGCCGAGTTGGAAGACCCCTGCTTGTGGACTTCAACTCCCAGAATTCCTCAGCCACAAGTCATCAATGGCTCATAATTCCCTCACGCTTTCTGAGGAATTCTGGGAGTTGAAGTCCACGAGTCATAAAAGGGCCATAATTCCCTCACGCTGGCTGAGGAATTCTGGGAGTTGAAGTCCACAAGTCATAAAAGGGTCAGTTCCCTCACGCCGGCTGAGGAATTCTGGGAGTTGAAGTCCACGAGTCATCAAAGGGTCATAGTTCCCTCACGCCGGCTGAGGAATTCTGGGAGTTGAAGTCCACGAGTCATCAAAGGGTCATAGTTGCCTCATGCTGGCTGAGGAATTCTGGGAGTTGAAGTCCACACGTCATCAAAGGGTCCTAGTTCTCTCATGCTGGCTGAGGAATTCTGGGAGTTGAAGTCCACAAGTCATAAGAGGGTCCCAGTTCCCTCATGCTGGCTGAGGAATTCTGGGAGTTGAAGTCCACAAGTCATCAAAGGGCCAAGTTTGAAGGCCCCTGATGTAGGTAGTTCCTCAGCGTACAACAGTCTGTTTAGTGACCGTTTGAAATTACTAAAAATGTGACTTATGACCGTTTTCCACACTTACGACTGTGGCAGCATCCGCGTGGTCACGTGATCAGAATTTGGCTGCTTGGCAACTGACTCGTATTTACGACGGTCGCAGTGTTCCGGGGTTCATGTGGATCCCCTTTTGCGAACTTTTGGGAACCGAACTCAATGGGGAAGGCAGGTTCACTTAACAATCGTGATTTAACAGTCACTAAATGAAACTGTTGTAATTCGAGGACTGCCCATAAGAAGCTTTGTGTCTGTTCCTTCTCTCTCCTAGATCCCGGTGGCCGTGAAGACGCTGCGGTCGGACGTCTCCTCCGATCCGGGGGCCCTGATCGACTTCCTCAATGAGGTCAACGCCATGTGCTGCCTGGATCACCCCCACCTCCTCCGCCTCCACGGGGTGGTGCTCACCCAGCCCCTCAAGATGGTAAGGGGGAACCCCAGCGACTCGCCTCCAGAGGTTGTGGGTGCTCCATCACTGGAGGTCTAGGGGTCTCCTGCTTGAGCAGGGGGTTGGACTAGATGACCTCCAGGGATCCCTTCCAACTCCGTTATTCTGTAAGGATCTCCTCCTTGAGCAGGGGGTTGGACTAGATGACCTCCAGGGTCCCTTTCGACTCCATTATTCTGTAAGGGTCTCCTCCTTGAGCAGGGGGTTGGACTAGATGACCTCCAGGGTCCCTTCCAACTCCGTTATTCTGCAAGGCTCTCCTCCTTGAGCAGGGGGTTGGACTAGATGACCTACAGGGATCCCTTCCAACTCTGTTATTCTGCAAGGCTCTCCTCCTTGAGCAGGGGGTTGGACTAGATGACCTCCAGGGTCCCTTTCAACTCTGTTTTTCTGTAAGGGTCTCCTCTTTGAGCAGGGGGTTGGACTAGATGACCTCCAGGGTCCCTTCCAACCCTTCCAACCCTGCTATTCCGTTATTCTATTAAATTTTCCAGTCTCCTTCCAAACTTTTCCTGCAGGGGTGGGGCTATGAAGACCAGGAGGGGCCGGGCACCCAGAACACGGGTGCAAAGATTCTTTCTCGCCGAGTTCGCACGACCTGTGTAACTCAGCCAGGGGGGAAATCATCTAGGATTGCCTTCCAACACATTTATTCTGGTTAATTTTATTTCCCAATCTCCTTGCTGGGTTATTTTGGGGTTCAGACGGTGGGGCGATGGGTCTGGGGGGGGCATAGGTTAACCCTTCCCTCTTGGCCAGGGGTCTTCAAACTTGGCCCTTTGATGACTGTGGACTTCAACTCCCAGAATTCCTCAGCCAGGCATGCTGGCTGAGGAATTCTGGGAGTTGAAGTCCACCAGTCATCAAAGGGTCATAGTTCCCTCACGCTGGCTGAGGAATTCTGGGAGTTGAAGTCCACAAGTCATAAAAGGGCCATAGTTCCCTCACGCTGGCTGACGAATTCTGGGAGTTGAAGTCCACAAGTCATCAAAGGGCCGAGTTTGAAGACCCCTGCCTTAAATCTAAACAAACAAAATGGAGGCTGGCTGAGGAATTCTGGGAGTTGAAGTCCACAAGTCATCAAAGGCCCAAGTTTGAAGACCCCTGTTGTTGGCAGGTAACGGAGTTGGCCACGCTGGGCTCCCTCTACGACCGGCTCCAGCCGCCCTTCCCTCTGCACCAGCTCTGGAGCTACGCCGCCCAGGTGGCCGGGGCCATGGCTTACCTGGAGTCCAAGCTCTTCGTCCACCGGGATCTGGCCGCCCGGAACATCCTGCTGGTCTCCGAGGACCACGCCAAAATCGGCGACTTCGGCCTCATGCGCCCGCTGTCCAGTAAGAGTGACCGCTACGTCATGTCCGCCCACCGGCGCATCCCGTTCGCCTGGTAAGGCTCTCCGAGGCCAGGAGGGTTTAACCCCCACTTCCCCCGTCTCCTCAGGCTGCTGCTGAACCCTCAGCGGTCATGAGGACTAGCGCCTTGCGGGGTGCTGGCGAGACCTGAATGAAGGAACGTACCATGCCAGGATTTCAGGGTGAGATGTGGTTTTTCAGAAGAGGCTGGACAGCCACTTGTCTGAAATGGTCTGATTGACCGGGTGGGCTGGACTAGAGGACCTCTAAGGTCCCAGTCTGTTATTCTGCTATTTTGACTTCCTTCCTTCCTTCCTTCCTTCCTTCCTTCCTTCCTTCCTTCCTTCCTTCCTTCCTTCCTTCCTGATTTGACAGCCCCTTGTCTGAGATGGTATAAGGTCTCCTGCTTGAGCAGTGGGCTGGACTAGATGACCTCCAGGATCCCTTTCAACCCTGTTATTCTGTTATTCTATTAAATTTTATTCTGTTATTCTGCTTTCCTTCCTTCCTTCCTTCCTTCCTTCCTTCCTTCCTTCCTTCCTTCCTTCCTTCCTTCCTTATTAGACAGCCCATTGTCTGAGATGGTATAAGGTCTCCTGCTTGAGCAGCGGGCTGGACTAGAAGACCTCCGAGGTCCCTTTCAGCTCTATTCTGCGTCTAAAAGGTGTTCCTTTCTTCTTAGAGCAAATCTCGGCCAGCAAGTTTTCTTCCTTTTTACATTTATCCGGATTTATATTTCATCCTGTACGAAGGATGGTGGTTTATACGATTGGTCCTCTTCTTACGACCACAGTGAACTCCCCAATTTCCGTTGCTAAGCGAGACAGTGAAGTGCGCTTCGCCCCATTTTACGACCTTTCCTGCTACGGATGTGAAGGGAGTCACTGCAGTGGGGAAGCTGCTTACAGGCTTGTCCAGTGACTCTTTGCTCGCCCGAAGGTCGTAAAACGGGATCGCGTGACACCCCCTGCGACCGTCATAAGTACGAGTCAATTACCCAGCGTGTGAATTTTGATCACGCGACCGCGGGGATGATGGCTGCAAAGTTCCCCAAAGGTGAAAAACGGCCATAAGTCCCTTTTCCCAGGGCCAACCTAGCTTCAAGCGGTCGCTAAACGAACCGTCGTAAGTGGAGGACCGCCTTTAAGACCCTGATCCCTTTTTTCCCTCCTCCAATAATCCAAGTTTGAGGATTCTTAGCCTGTTTGCGGGGGGGGGGGAAGAAATCTGCAGGAATTTGAATGGCACCTTTTTTGAATTTTGCTCTTTTCCTTTGGGAAAATGTTATTTGACCTTTGCCCCTCCCGAGCTCAGGTGGGGTGGGGGGGTGACCAGGTGACTGACCCCCCCCCCCATGTTGCCCTTCCAGGTGCGCCCCCGAAAGTCTGCGCCTGGGGGTCTTCACCAGCGCCTCGGACGTCTGGATGTTCGGGGTGACCCTCTGGGAGATGTTCTCCTACTGCGAGGAGCCCTGGGTGGGCTTGACCGGCAGGCAGGTGAGACCGACAGGGGGCGCCCCCCCAAACCGGCACGGGGAAGGGGCCAGTGGTTAGAGCCGATGCCTGTCTGGGGGACGATGGGAAGTGTAGTCTGAGGCCTCGGGAGGGGGTAAGGTGTTCAGAAGCGACGGGCTTTCCGAGACGGTGCTGGGGGCCGAGCTGCTTTGCCAAGGGGGGGTCAAAAAAGTCAAGATGGCGGCCAGGCAAAGAAAAGGCCCGCCTGTTGTTGTTGTTTTTTCCACGCACGAAAACGGACACAAAAACGGGCAGGGGTTTGATGACGGCTGCTGTCTAGAGGCAGTTTGGTCTAGTGGTTGAGGCGTCAGGCTAGGAACCAGGAGACGGCGAGTTCTAGTCCTGCCTTAGACATGAAAGCTGGCTGGGTGACTTTGGGCCAATCACCAGGAGAGGATGAGTTCTAGTCCCGCCTTAGGCACGAAAGGGACTGGGTGACTTTGGGCCAATCATCAGGAGTCTGGGAGTTCTAGTCTCGCCTTAGGCATGAAAGGGACTGGGTGATTATAGTCCAATCACCAGGAGACGGTGAGTTCTAGTCCCGCCTCAGGCATGAAAGGGACTGGGTGACTTTGAGCCAATCACCAGGAGACGCTGAGTGCTAGTCCCGCCTTAGGCATGAAAGGGACTGGGTGACTATAGTCCAATCACCAGGAGACGCTGAGTTCTAGTCCTGCCTTAGGCACGAAAGGGACTGGGTGACTTTGGGCCAATCATCAGGAGACTGGGAATTCTAGTCCCTCCTTAAGCTTGACATCCATCTGAATGATGTTGGGCCAGTCACTAGGAGACGGTGAGTTCTAGCGCGCCTGGAAAAGCCAGCTGGGTGACTTTGGCCTAGTCCCTCTCTCAGCCCAGCCCACCTCACAGGGTCGTTGTGTTGGAGGAAAAAAATAGGAGAAGGAAGCAATATTAGCTATGTTCACCGCTTTCAGTTATTTATAAAAAATAGCATAAAAGACGGCATAAAAAAGCTATTTTTTTCCTTAAGTGTTTCTCAACCTTGACAATTTTAAGGCATGTGGACTTCAACTCCCAGAATTCCACAGCCAGCATTGCTGGCTGTGGAATTCTGGGAGTTGAAGTCCACATGCCTTAAAATGGTCAAGGTTGAGAAACACAGAGATCTTGTGTGCGCCTCACCTTGAAACGGATGCTTTGTTTTTCCTTCCTGACCCGCCCAGATCATGATCAAGATCGACCGGGAAGGAGGCCGCTTGGAAAGGACGGAAGATTGTCCCAGGGCCATCTACGCCCTGGCGCTCAAGTGCTGGGCCCACAATCCGGAAGACCGGCCCAAATTCCGGGAAATGGTCCACCTGTTGCAGGAGGTGAGAGTAAGGCTGCGTTCACACAAACACCTGGGGTGGGTCGGGGAGAAAAGACTCTTGTTTGGTCCAGGAATATCTAGATTCCTGTCTGGCCAGCAGTTGGTCAGGTTGGGACGGCCAGGTGGCTGGCCTCAGTCCGTCTAGGCCACTTTTAAGACTGGTGGACTTCAACTCCCAGAATCCCCCAGCCGGCGGCCCTGCTTGTTGCTGCTGCTGCTAGGGATTCTGGGAACTGAAGTCCACACATCCAGAAGTCAGGGAGTTTGAAGACCCCTGGTTTAGGCTCTGAAGATAGGTGGACTTCAACTCCCAGAATTCTCAGCAGCGGCCCTTCTTGTTGCCGCCGCTGCTAGGGATTCTGGGAACGGAAGTCCACATATCCGGAAAGCAGGGAGATTGCCAGTCCTTTGGTTTAGGGCAGGGATAAGCAACCTTGGATCTTTTAGGACTTGTGGACTTCAACTCCCAGAATTCCTCAGCCAGCATGGGGGAACTATGGCCCTGTTTAGAATTCATGGACTTCAACTCCCAGAATTCCTGAGGCAGCATGGCTCATCTTGGAAACCTCTTCCTTTCCCCTCAGCATGGCTCGTTCAGGAATTCTGGGTATTGAAGTCCACAAGTCATAAAAGAGCCAAGGTTGCCTACCCCTGGTTTAGGCTATGAAGATAGGTGGACTTCAACTCCCAGAATTCCCAGTAGCAGCCATGCTGTTTGCTACCACTGCTAGGAATTCTGGGAACTTAAGTCCACACATCCGGAAGGCGGGGAAATTTTAGAGACCTTTGGTTTAAGGTATGAAGATATGTGGACTTCAACTCCCAGAATTCTCCAGCCAGCGGCCATGCTTGTTGCTAGCACCGCTAGGGATTCTGGGAACTGAAGTCCACACCTCCGGAAGGCAGGGAGTTTGCCAGTCCCAGCTGCGGCCAGGAAATTACTGGCAGTTCTAGATTTACAGCCCTCTCTTTAGATGATAATAATTATAAAGTTGGAAGGGACCTTGGAGGTAATCTAGTCCAACCCCCTGCTCAGGCAGGAAACCCTATTACCATTTCAAACAAAGGCTGTCCAGCCTCTTCTCCAACACTGGAAGTTTTTAAGAAGAGACTGGACAGCCATTTGTCTGAAATGGTATCGGGTTTCCTGCCTGAGCAGGGGGTTGGACTAGATGACCTCCAAGGTCCCTTCCAACTTCATTATTATTGTTGTTGTTATTGTTATTATTATTATTATTATTATTATTATTATTATTATTATTATTATTATTATTATTATTATTACCATTTGAAGTTACAACGGCACTCAAAAAAGTGACTTAGGACCGTTTTTCGCTCTTACGACCGTTGCAACATCCCCGTGGTCACGTGATCAAAATTCAGGCGCTTGGCAACCGACTCGTATTTACGACGGTCGCAGGGTCCGGGGGGGGGTCACGTGACCCCTCTTTTGCGACCTCCTGACAAGTGAAGTCAATGGGGGAAGCCCGATTCGCTTAACGACGGGGTGACTCGCTTTAACAACTGCAGCGACTCCGTTAACAGCCAGTCGTAAAGTGGGGCAAAACTCACTTAACAACTGCCTTGCTTAGCGACGGGAACGTGGCCCTCGACTTCTTTTTTTTTTTCGACCACACCCCTCAGACATGTGTCCGTGTGTCTTTTTAACACAGCTGCGTCCCAAAGAGATGAAGGCGATTCGTGCTTTCGGTGAGCCCGGTTGGTTAAGGCTGGAAGCAAACGATCCGGTCACCATCATCGAAGGCGGGTGAGTGAAGACGCCGGGACCTCTTTCGGTGGGGGAGGGGAAGGGGAGGGGTCTGCACTCCCTCGGCCCCTCCCCTCCCAATCGCACAGCCTTCCTGTCCCTTCAGCTCCATCCTGCTTTGCAAGTTCCTAGTCCTCAATGTCCGATTCCCCTGTTCTTCTCTTCTGATCGCTTCTCGCCTCTGTTCCCAGAGTCGTAAGAGGTCAGGGGTCTGTGAGGTCATCCAGGCCAACCCCCTTCCCTGCTCACCTTTATCTATCAATGTAGTCTCGCTTAAAGGCTTCTACGAATTTTATTTCTTTGTCCTCGAGACGCTGCAAGTTGTAAAAAATACCACAAATTCTCTTTCGTCCAAACTATTCCCCCGGCTTCCTAAGTCAATGGGAGTTGTAGTCCAAGACCCCCCGAGATTTAGGCTCCTGAAAACCCCAACGGGGTGTATTCCTCTCATCCCCCCCTCCCTTTTTTGCCCCTCCAGCCCCGAATCGTCCACCTGGCGAGGGCAGAACAAGCGGACCCTCAAAGTCGGCATCTTCCCGTCTTCCGTCGTGGCGGCAGCCGAGGATGCAGCGCCCCCTGTTGGAGCTACGCGGATCAGCCACCCCATCCGAAGCTCCTTCCTTCACCTGAGTCACGGGGACATCGACCCTGAGCGAGGATGGGGGTCTCCGGACCAGGAGGAGTACGTGGGGGGGGGCGGGTTGGGCATCACACACACACGCACACACACACAAACACTGAAAAGGTGTGTCTTAGGATCCCTGCAGGACCATATCCAGTGTTGGTGCATGTCCTGCCACCTGGTGGCCGGCAGTGGTACTGCCCTTTTTGTCCGGGCTGCGACAAGTAGGGCTAACGCCATCCCAGCAAGCAGAGGAGCCTGGAAAGGGGAGGGGGCAGCTGGACCCCCAACCCCACCCCAGGGGAGTCACATCAGTGGGATCAGGGACCCCACCGGGACACCAGGTTTAACTTCCCTGCCCGGAAAAGAATGACAGATTGTCCTCAACTTACGACGACCATCGGAACGGGGATTTCGGGTGAGAATCTCTGAAAGGGTGTGGGGTTCCTGAGCATGTGCAAAAGGAGCCCTCCCCCCTGAAATTTGAGCCCAAGTCTGCAGAGGGTGTCTCTCGGGGCCTGCGTTCCTCAACCTCGGGCACGTTAAGGTGTGCGGGCTTCCAAGCTGGCAGGGGAATTCTGGGAGTTGAAGTCCACACACCTTGAGGACAGGTAGGTCGTTCCTGGACTTACGAAGCTATTTCCGTTGCTAAGCGAGACATTTGTTAAGCAAATTTTGCTCCGTTGTATGCCCTGCCTACAGTCATAAGTGTGAGGACCGGTCGTCAAGTCACCTTTCCCGGGCCGTCGTAACTTCGAACGGACGCTACACGAGTGGTGGCGAGGCGAGGACTGCCTGGGACGGGCCGTCACTAACCGGAACACGGGTGTTTTGTCTTCTTCGTCCTAGGAAGAAACCAAAACTGCGCGGGGGGAATCCCGGCCCCCAGAACCCCGGCGGCAAGAGCAAGCAGCTGCTGCAACTGGCCCGTGAGTCTCCCCCTCCCCTTAATGGGTCTTTTGGGGGGGGTCTTCTGCCCCTCTTATACCCGCCCCCCTCTCTGCTGCCCCCTGCAGGCCTCTCCAAAAGCCTGGAATCCATTTCCGAGTGGTCCATCCTGCGCCCCAAGCCGAAATTCTCGCCCTTCCGGACGGAGGGTCCCAGCCAGCCCCCCCAGCGGCGGTTCAGCGACCTGCCCACCCCGCTCCCGTCGTCCCCTCCCCAGCCGGAGTACCGCAGCCCCAAGGCTGCTGCCCGCATCCCGAACCCGGCCCTGCCTTCCTGGGCGCTGCCCAAGGCGGAGGCTGCGGGGGGCAAGGAGAAGGAGCAGCGGGGGTCCCGCCCGGCCCCCAAAGGCGCTGGGGGGCCACCCCTTCCCGGCGCACCGAGGCTGACCATGGGGGAGATCGAGAAGAAGATCAAGGAGGTAAGAGACCACCTTCTGCCATGCCCACCACCGGGTCTTGCTTCAAAGAGGGGGGGGAACCCTGAGGGCATCCATCCGGGCTTTGTGCTCTCGAACTGGATCTGGGCTGGGCTGCTGGGGAGGGGGAGGTCGTTTCCACCCCACACCGGGTTAGGGGGGTCAAGGATCTTCCCTCCTTCCGCCGCGCCCTCAAAACATGGCTATTCCAGCTAGCGGGACTGGCCTAAGGGATATTTTAAATTTGATTTTAATTCGATTTTAATTTGGCTTTTAACATAATTTTAAAAAGAAACGGCAAAAAATCAATATTTCATTTTAATTGTATTTTAAACTTAGTATTTTGTATGGTTTGTCTGTTTTTTAACTTGCTGTAAGCCGCCCTGAGTCCTCCAGGAGAAGGGCGGGGTATAAATTTAATAAAACCTAAAACCTAAACCTAAGGAAGGGATCGCCTTCCAGCTTGAAATGGAGCTCCATAAAGGGAAAGGAGACCACAAGGAGATCTGAAAACCCCTTGGGAAGAATCCTTTACAGGTAAAGTCCTCGACTTACAACCGTTTAGTGACCGTTCCAAGTTATGACGGCACTGAAAAAAGGTGACTTATGGCCATTTTTCACACGACCGTTACAGCCTCCCCTGTGGTCACGTGATTGAAGTTCGGACGCTCGGCACCTGACTCATATTTACGACGGCCGCAGCGTGCCGGGGAGGGGTGTTGTCACGGGATCCCCCTTTTGCGACCGACTGGCAAGCAAAGTCCACGGGGGAAGCCGGATTCGCTTGACTGTGTGACTCACTTAGTGTCCGCAATAATTAACAACTGTGGCCAGAAAGGTCGTAAAACGGGGCAAAACTCACATTTAACGACGGTCTGACTTAGCAGCGGAAATCTGGGCTCAAATTGTGGTCGTTAAGTCGAGGACTACCTGTGTTACATTTATTCTTTATTAAATGTATTCGCTGGCCATCTCACTCGGATTTCCAAAACACCCGAGCACGGAAAATAATAATAATAATAATAATAATAATAATAATAATAATAATAATAATAATAATAATAATAATTAATAATAATAAATAATAATTATTATTATTAATAATAATAAATTAATAATAATAATAATAAATTAATAATAATAATAATAATAATAATAATAATAATAATAATAATAATATGATTATAGTAATAGTAATAATAATATGATGATGATGATGATGGAAGGGAGCTTGGAGGTCATCTAGTCCAACCCCCTGCCTTCATGAATTCTGTTTAGCCCCTCCTGGTGGAGATGGGTATTGTAGTCCCAAACCCCGGCAGGGGCTGGGCATGGGAAGGCTAGCCAATCCTTGAAGGGGGGAGAGGGCAGCTGGCAACCATTTCTCCTCTTGAGCCCCCCCCAAAGCAGAGGAGTTGGGGGTCGCCCCCCTGCGGCCTCTTGGCTGAGGCTGCCCGTTTGCCCCCCTCCCCACAGGTGGAAGAGCGGGTGCACGGGGTGACCACCGAGGAGTGCCTGGAGGCCCTGCGGATGAACAGCTGGGAGGTGCCCAAGACGGTCCAGCTGCTGAAGGTGGGAAGCCAGCCCCCCCCTCCCTGTTGGCCCGCCAGCTGTTTTCCAGCTGTGCCTCCTGGATGGGGAGGGCAGCGGGAGAGGGAGGGGCTTCCGGGAGCCTCGGGTAGTGGGGTGTGTGTGTGTGGGGGGGAAACTTGGCACCTCAGAGGAGCCGCATGACCCACATCTTCCTTCCTTGCCCCCTCCCTTTCTTATTTTTCCTTCCTCCCTTTCTTATTTTTCCTTCCTCCCTTTCTTATTTTTCCTTCCTCCCTTTCTTGCTTTTACCCCTCCCTTTCCTTCATTTTTTGTTCCTTTCCTTCCTTCCTCTCAATTTTCCTTCCTCTTTTGCCTTCTGTTCTTCCATCTCCCTTCCTTCCTGTCTTCTTTCCCTTCATTTCCTTCCTTCCTCCCTCCCTCTTGCCTTCCCTTTTCCTTCCTTCCCTCCCTTTTTCCTTCTATTCTTCCCTCCATCTCCTTTCCTTCCTGTCTTCCTTCCCTTCATTTCCTTCCTTCCTTCCTTCTACCTTCTATTCATCTTCCTTCCTTCCTGTCTTCCTTCCCTTCCTTCCCCCCTCCCTCTTGCCTTCCCTTTTCCTTCCTTTCCTACCTCCCTCTTTCCCTCCTTCCTTCCTCCCTTTTCCTTCCTTCCCCCTTCCTTTTATCTTCTATTCATTTTCCTTCCTTCCTGTCTTCATTTTCTTCCTCCCTCCCTCTTGCCTTCCCTTTTCCTTCCTTCCCTCTCCCTTCCTTCCACCTTCTATTCTTTCATCTCCCTTCCTTCCTGTCTTTTCTCATTTCCTTCCTCTTTTCCTTCCTTTTTACCTTCTATTCATCTTCCTTCCTTCCTGTCTTCCTTCATTTCCTCCCTCCCTCCCTCTTGCCTTCCCTTTTCCTTCCTTCCTTTTCTCTCCTTTCATCTTCTATTCTTCTCTCCATCTTCCTTCCTTCCTCTCTCCTTCTTGCCTTTCCTTCTTTCCTTCCTTCCCTCCCTCCCTCCCTCTTTCCCTCCTTCCTTCCTCTTTCCCTCCCTCCCTCCCTCCCACAGGTCCACCAGCTCTTCAACCTCAGCTCCCTCTCGTGGGACGAATGCCGTCGGATCCTGGAGAAGCACCGCTGGAATTTGGCCATGGCCTCCCGTTACGTGCTCAGCCGGGGGCTCCGGACCTGAGCAGGCACCCGGGGTGGGGGTGGGCAGGGGGGGAGCCAGGGGGTCTATCCCGAAGGGCCCACCTGGCCCAGGATCCCAGCTCCCCTGTGCTGGTGGGCAGGAGAGACCCCCCCGGGCCTTCCCCACCACCCTCCACAGGCTCCCCACGGACTCGTGGCCGAGTGTCCAGCCGCTTAGGACGATGGCCGGCCCAAACGCAAACCAGCTACTCCTTTTGGCCAAAGACACACCGAAGCCAGTGGTCCAGTTGACCGGCCCTCCTCTGAACCTCGGGACCCAAGCTCCTAGTCCTCTTTGAGGAGGCACACCTCAACTGGGCCGCGCCACTGGATTCCCTTCCCTGGGTCATTTTATTACTCTCGCGTTCTTCCAAGGATCTGCAGATTTTCTTATTTATAAGCACGGCTAGCTTGAACTCTTTAGAGGTTTTTTTCCTGCGTGGATGCTCGCTGGCTCTGTCTGGGGAGGGGCGGAGGGAGGGGGCAAGTGGGGAGGGTCCAGGCAGCCCCCTCACCAGATGCCCAGGTGGCTTAAGTGGGGGAGGGGGCAGTGGGGAAAAGTGGGGGGCTCTGGGATGGAAGCACCTTCCTGGCTCTCTCTCTCTGATGTAAATAGGGGTCGAATACGGGCAATAAAGGTGAGCAGCTGTGAGTGCGCTCCTGGGGTGTCTTGGGAGGAGGATGGGAGGAGGAGGAGGAAGGGGAGAAGGGGAAGAGGCAGGAAGGAGTGGGGAAGTAGGAGGGGGAAAGGAGGAAGCGGTGAGGAAGAGGAAGGGAAGAGATTTGTGGATGACACCCAGCTGGCAGGAATAGCCAACACTCCAGAGGTTACAGGCTTAGGATACAGGAGGATCTGGACAGACTTGAACCCAGGGCCCTATCTAACAAAATGAAATTCAATGGTGAAAAAAGTAAGATTCTACATTTAGGCAAGAAAAACCAAATGTACAGGTATAGTATAGGGGGTACCTTGCTCAATAGTAGTAACTGTGAGAGGGATCTCGGAGTCCTAGTGGACAACCCCTTAAATATGAGCCAGTCGTGTGCTGCAGCTGCCAAAAAGGCCAACACAATCCTAGACTGCATTAACAGAGGGAGAGAATTAGGATCACGTGAAGTGTTAATACCACTTTACAAGGCCTTGGTAAGGCCATACTTGGAATAATGCATCCAGTTTTGGTAACCGCGATGTAAAAAAGATGTTGAGACTAGAGTACAGAGAAGAGCAACAAAGAGGATCAGGGGACTGGAGGCTAAAACATACGAGGACCGGCTGCTGGAATTGGGGATGTCTATTTTAATGAAGAGAAGGACGAGGGGGGACAGGATAGCAGTGTTCCAGTATCTCAGGGGCTGCCCCAAAGAAGAGGGAGTCAAGCTATTCTCCAAAGTGCCTGAAGGCAGGACAAGAAGCAACGGATGGAAACTAATCAAGGAGAGAAGCAACCTAGAACTGAGGAGAAACTTCCTGACAAGCCAGAACAATGAACCAGTGGAACTACCTGCCTCCAGAAGCGGTGAATGCTCCAACACTGGAAGTTTTTAAGAAGAGACCGGACAGCCATCTGTCCGAAATGGTGTAGGGTTTCCTGCCTGAGCAGGGGGTTGGACTAGATGACCTCCAAGATCCCTTCCAATTATTTTTATTATTTGCCTGAAATGGTATAGGGTTTCCTGCCTGAGCAGGGGGCTGGACTAGACGACCTCCAAGCCCCCTTCCAACTTTTTTTATTATTGTCTGAAATGGTAGGGTTTCCTGCCTGAGCAGGGGGTTGGACTAGATGACCTCCAAGGTCCCTTCCAACTTTTTTATTATTTGTCTGAAATGGTATAGGGTTTCCTGCCTGAGCAGGGGGTTCGACTAGATGACCTCCACGGTTCCTTCCAACTTTATTATTATTATTATTATTATTATTAAGTAGAGGACTGCTTTTTAAGGTTTGACAGCCGCTGTTACGACTCCGACAAAATCAACAATCCATCAAAGAGGGGGGGAGAAAAAAATGAGCAAACGCTACATATTTTATTCGTTCCGTCTTTGGTTCGGCCTGGAAACTCAGAAGCTTCATCGTCGGCGAGACCCCCAAATTACACACTTCCAAAGGAGGGGTTTGTTTTCTTTTTGCACAGCCCGCTTGACCTCCCGCTGTAGGCCCAGCCTCCCTCCCCATGGGTTGGAACAACAAATCCCATCATCCCTGCCACAGGTCGCAGCAGACTGCCGGAGTCGGAGGGCACTCCGAGAACCCCAAACTCGGGGGGGACCTGAATTTGTCCAAGCAAGCATCAACTTCAACTGCCACCTTTGCTTTTTTTCCCCAGCTATGGATCCTTTCTCCGCCATCGTTGTGGGGTGCAAATTCTTGAGTACCCCACCCCTTCCACCCTAGCCCCCCCCCCAAAAAAACATTTGGTATTTAAATACAGTAGAGAAAAATCACTGGATATTAATATTATGCAAGACGCTGAAATTCAGAAAGGGATTTTCTGCTTCTCCGTGACCCCCAACTCTTGAGCTGATGGTGGGGGGTCCCTAACAGCCCACAAAATTGGGGTGGGGGGCGTCTTGCTATTTTAGTGGTTAAGCCACATAGCACCAGCAACCGTGCCTGGCCAAGACATTGAAATAGGAATTAAAATACCAACTATCCACAAATTGGGGCCGGAAACGGTAAAACGGTCGGCCTGACACGTCCGCAGCATTTGTTTCGTCCTTGGTGCCAACGGGACCACGCCACGCCGACACCCACAAACACACACACCGTGCATAATCCAGACAGACTCACACACCCAAAAGTGTCACCCGAGCGGCTCCCAGCTCAAATCGGCTTAAGACTACAACGCCCATCCCCTCCCAGGCAGCCCAGCCTATCCCCGGAGGGCTCCACGTTGGGGAAAGCAAGTCCAAACCACGTCCAAGAACTGTGAATCAGCAACTGAGACAGACAGATGTCTCCAGATGTGCGGCTTTTCAAACTTCACAAAAGCATCTGTGCACCAAGGCGCTCGGCCTCTTTGTCTTGGGATCATCTGATACGGGTCCAACAAGGAAGCCATTGTTAAACCAAAGATGGCTTGTTTTGTTTTTCTTTTAACAAGCACGGATTGTTCTTTTCCTCCAGGGTTTTTTTTTGGGGGGGGGGAAGGGCGGTGCCACGGCTGCTAATCTAGAATTATTTTTATTCTGCCAAGCGTCCTTTTATTAATTATCCGCCCGGCACATTTATCTGATGGGCGATTTCTTCGTTGTTCCCTCCCGGTCTCTCTGCTCGGGAGTCTGGAGAATCTATGGGGCACAGACACCCATCTTTGGGAATTACTAATTCCACACCCCAGGAATAAAGCTCTCTCTAAGGCAGTGGTTTTTAAACTTGGCACCTTTAAAATGTGTGGACTTCAACCCCCAGGATTCCCCAGCCAGCCACGTTATCATTTATAAAGGAGACTATTATTAGAAATCCAGGTCCAGATAAACTACGTCTGCAGCATACCCCTGATCTACTAAGTCCGTCATTCTACACTGGCTGGAGAATTCTGGGAATTGAAGTCCATATATCTTAAAGATGCTGAGATTAAGAAATAGAATTCTTCAGGATTAGAGGATGAATCTGCCCGGGTTTATGTGCAATGTTTTGGTGACACAGTAAGCCATCGTTCTGACTTTTTTGACCAGACAGCCTTGGTCCCCACACCCCAAAATCCTGAGCAGGCACCCCAACTCAGCTGAACACCCCCACTGATCTTCTATGCCAAAAGTTTCCCTGAAAATCACAACTTTAACAGCAGAACAACTAACCCAACTTTCCCCAACCTCTCCTTCAGAGAGCTGGAGTTCAACTCCCATAATCCCCAGCCCGGAGATGGCAGAGAGAGTGCACCGGACAGAATCTAACAAGTTTTGTGCAGAAGTGCAAGCCCACAACAGCTTCCGAGAACAGAGGCAACTAGGATAGAGACCCAGTCTTTGGACACATAGAAATTTTCAAGCGCAACCATCGCTGTCAGACCCAAACATACCCACAAAAACACACATATACGCATACTCTCTACACACAAAAAACCCACATACACTCCCTCTCTCTCTGTCAGGTCAGAACCAGGAAAACTGTCCCTGATTTGAGATGATTTCAACTGCTCATTACAGAGGTCCTCTGTCCAACTTCTCCCGTCTTCTCGAAAAACATAAAATCCTGCGAAAAGCAGAAGAGAAATTGCTGAAGTGCCTGGTGGTCTCCTTTTCTTGGGAGGTGTAGGGAAAGTGGACCACCCACCCCAGTTCTCATCATCTTTCCTCAACGCTGGAGCCGGACTCACAATGAGGAAGCAGGCTCCGAGGAGAATCGCCTTGACCTTCACGTCCAGATCGATGGGGAACTGGATCCCAAAGTTGTCCGTGTCGGTGAAGATTTCCTTAAGGAGGCCGCTCCACTGCTTACTGATCCGGCCCACCCCACGGGACTCATCCCGGGTCTTCACCTGCAGGAAGACATGAGGGCTGCGTTTACGTACCGCATGGAACAATTGGCGACCGCGAAAGGACATCTGCCTGTAACCTCACATCAAATGTACACCGTACTTCCATCTCCACCTGGTGCAGGAATTAGATTTCCAAGCTTGTTTTTAAGATCTCGTGAGAATATTCTAAAGGAGATGGGGTTCTTGAGCATGTGCAAAAGGTCCCTCCCCCAAAATCTGAGCCCAGGGTCTGTAGATGTTGTCTCTCTGGGCCTGGATTTCTCGACCCTTCAGCATTTTAATATGTGTGGACTTCAAAGCTGGCAGGGGAATTCTGGGAGTTGAAGTCCACACATCTTGAGGACTGGTTGACTAACACTACAGATAGTCCTTGACTTACGAGCCCAACATTTCTGTTGCTAAGTGAGACACTTGTTAAGTGAATTTTGCTCCATTGTATGACCTTTCTTCCCATAGCCGTTAAAGTGAATCCCTGTGATTAAGTCAGTGACATGGGTTGTTAAGTGAAACCGGTTTCCCGATTGACTTTGCTTGTCAGAAGGTCGCCAAAGGAGATCACGTGATGCCGGGACGCTGCAACCGTCATAAATACGAGCGAGTTGCCAAGCGTCCGAATTTGGACCACGTGGCTGTGAGGTGTGAAAACTGGTCATAAGTCACTTTTTTCAGTGCCGCTGCAACTTTGAATGGTCACTAAACAACCTATTGTTAAATTGGGGATTGTCTCTATTCTGGTCACACCTCGAAGCTGACATCCCCGCCGCAACTGCAGGCAAAGCAGGGCCCCAAAACACGGAGCACCGTCTCCTTCTCGACGTTCTGGATGGAGAACCTGGGCATGAAGGGATGCCAGGTCTGCACCACGTAGCCGATGGTGGCACCCGGCGGGCACTGGACTTCCATCTGTGAGAAGGAAAAGTAAAACTGGTGTCAGAAAAGTGAGGTTAAGAGGTTGCCCAAGTTAAGTCACAATGCTTGGACAAATATGTTCTATTGCAACCTAACAGAGAGGAGAATTCACACAACAACACAACAGCCGCACTGACAATGGTTAAATCAAGAGTTTCGCTTTAGGGGGACTTCCGGTGGCAGGCGACTTCGTCGGTCGCAGCTGTTTGCTGCCTCCCGCCTGTTTCGCGTAAAAGCCGTTTTGACAGCCAGTACCAGCTGTCAAACGGCCTGATACCTTTCCCCTGGGCATAAGGGGATAGGTGAGCTGCCTGGGGTAGGAGTTGAGTTCCCGAGTCATCCTATATGGACGATGTAGGTGAGAACTCCTCCGGAGCCCCGAGGATTCTCCGCGATCCAGGATGCCTTCGCTTCGGCGAAGCTAGAAGCCGCCGCCACTGCTGCAACTTAAAGTTAATTGTGAGTTTTATTTGTAAGCAGACGAACCAACCTTGGAAGCTTGTTTTTTATTTTGGACTCTAACTTGGATAATAAGTTCTTCCCCGTACTTGTGTTGGATGGAGGAAAAGTGAATTTAAAATGGCGATGGATTGATACTTTTCAGCAAGAAGTGAAAGTGATTTCCGGTTTGTAATTTTTGCTACTTTGAATCTGCGT